ATATATATTTATCATATATATTGATAAATATTAAATGTTAAAAATGTTAAAATTGTTCAGGATTTTTCATTCCTACGTCGTATCTCACTATGCGAGTCACACCTATCCTCTTCTGTCGGAGCACTCTTTCTACTTTCGTGTGTGTATTGAGCTTTGTGTTGTGTCTTGCATCTGTGACTGCGTGTGTTATACCTGAAGATGGCACTTTTGTGCCGAAACATGTAGTGCGAGAGAGAGGAGTGAGATAGATGAGTGTATGCACTGGAAGACGGTTGAAATAAATCATGGACTTAAACATTAAGATATTTCCTCCCAAATGGAACATATTTTCTCATTCTTCCTTTTCGGTATTTCCATGTCATTAATTGAATATTTTAGTAATTTTAGTAGTTTACTTGGTCTCTTGTCCTTCCGTATGTTTTGTTTTAAAGAAATTTGTATTCGAAACTGCCTCTGCTGCAGCTCGGTGTACACCTTCCCACTCATGTTCCAAAGTGACACAGTACATTTGCTCGCGACTCAGCTGTGTTCTTTCGGGAGTCATCTTTTTATGGCCATGGGTTATCATAAAAGAGCAAGGGTGGCTAACATGTTGCTCCATGTTACATATGTGGCAACCCACGTTCGGAAAAAGAAATGTATGACTATAATTTTATATATTACTATATTCTTAGCTTCATGTTTACCGCATACTGAAAATTTCATAGCTTTATAGCGCATTTTATACCCATGAAATTGGTTGGGCTGAAGCAACAGAATGGTTTATTGAATTCACATCGAAGGCTGACTGCGCATAATAATTTTATATGTTCAGTTTAGGATATTTAGGAAATTGTTTCTATTAGCTGGATGGGTGATATTTCAAATTGACAGTCGGATAGAGAGTTTTGTAAAAGGAATAATATGCTTAAAATATTTTTAAATATATAATAATGATTCGAAATAAATTAACCTTTTAAAGCTATATGTACCACCTGCTTTAACATATTAAAACTCTGCCCACAGAGTTAATTATTATTTCAGTGGAGACGTGATGTGTTTCCTGTGAGGTACGAACTACATTTGTATATATACACTATTTAGGAGACATTCAGTACGTTTAGGGTTAACATACATTATACGAAATAAAATTCACAGAAAGAGGTTACATTTATCATCACTTGGCTGGGAGACAGCTTCGTAATTGCCACTGATGCCCACATGCACAAATAATTATCCTAAACCGTTTTTTTATATAGTGTAGTACACATATCCTTATCAAATTACTACCAGTACTTACATAATAAACACGATAATGTAAAGGAAAAGACTACTCACTCGTTCGTGACATACTACATGAATTGTATTTACACAGTCTGTTAAGCGGCCTCCGTAGTCTAGAGGTAAACTTCCCACCTCATGACTCGTGGTACGCAGGTTCAAATACCCGGCGGAGGTCGTCGAATTTTTAAGGGCGGAAAAATTCAGGGAACAAGTCCTCCGGGAGGGACTTTAAGCCGTGGGTCCCGTGTCGTAGATTTACGGTACGTAAAAGAACCTCATATCCCCAAAGGAGGTCACTGAGCTAAATTCAAGGATATTTCCCGCCCAACAGGCGTCTCTAACACCTCTGATAGATGGGGGAAGCATTATAGACACCGCTAAGCAAGTGGCCGAACTCGCTGGCTCGGTCGGGACTGATGGTACGCACCAATATCGGTAGGGCATAGAGACTGGTAGAATATCATAGAGGGAAGCACAGTAGATCAAACTGGTCGCGGTGCATGGGGAAACCCACCCTCTCCAATAACTAACTAACTACACAGTCTGTTAACGCTAGACAGTTCGATGACACGGTAAACCGAAATTGTGTACACTAAAGACTTTTTTATATGAAGATAAAAAGAAATCCAAGTTTTCTGGGTCATAGCCAATCTTTTAGGAAGCAAAGTAACTTATTTGATACAAGTATTAACTTGAATTTTGTTATATAGGTGTATACCAACTGCGCATGCGTCAATTCTACAGATGGTAACCTGACTAAGTTTCTAGAAGAAGCAGAAGGCGAGTCAGCATTGGTACATAATTTTGGATCGTACCAGGCAATGAACCAAATGTGCGAATCACAGTGCCCCTATCTGTGGCCATTTGTAGTCCTCGTCTTCCTAACTATGTTCTTCACGTTCCTCAGCACAATGCCGGCTTTATCCGCAACTCTCAGGTGAGTAACCTTACTATACTCCATCCACTCTGTGAACAAGGGAACGTCGTACATTGAATAGGTAACGTTGCGGGTAAAATAAGTCTTGTGTGTGTGTGTGAATTTCCCAGCGGCGCATGAATACCGGACATGTGTTGAAAACAGAATAGAGTGACGCCATAATGATGACGTAATAAACTTCATCAGTAACTGATGATGACGCAGATGGAGTATACAAACCTTTTTATCATTACTGAGTCAAAGCTCCGAGATCTGATGTTCTTACGACGTTGGTTCCATGTAGTGCACCAAATAGTTACAAACGTTTAGGGAGAATATATTGCCTCCATCTTCAAGGCATAAAATCCATCTTGGCCTATATTGGATCATATCGGCGTTTCCATACTGTACAGTGTTATAACCTAAAAGATCAGAACATAATAGGCATAGATTTATATTCTCGAGCTATACTGGGCACATATTATACCTAACATGAAATAAAAAGTACTTCCGAAACGGCGGAATTTCAATCAACAATGACCTAGTTTATATTCAGAAAAAATTCAGTGCACTGCTATGTACATACAATATTTTAAGTTTGTGTAGTCGGGACAAGGAAAGAATGAACACAGATTGTTTCTCGTCAGCGGACATAGCAGTTACCTCCCCCTTTTCGTGGTTTTTCCCGTCCCCACCAGTTGTTGCTTTTATTCTGATTATCTTTTGTTCCCTCTTCTTGCATCTCAGCTTGTTATTGGTGTATAGTAAAGTGGGGGAGCAGGCGGATGACTTGAGCCCACATCACACGTGTTCATTCTTTCTCTGACCCGAAAGTAGTTCTGAAGCCTACTGTGACATTGATTACAGGTGTGTACAGGATGATCAGCGAGCGTTCGCGCTGGGGATCCAATGGATCAAGGTACGGTTGATAGGGACGATCCCAGCGCCAATGGTGTTCGGAGCGCTGATTGACGAGACTTGCATCCTGTGGCAGGAATCGTGTCACGAGGACGAAAATGGCGCATGCCTCGTATACGACAACGAGTATATGAGCCGGTATGTAGTACAGTGTTCTGCATTGACGACTGATCCACTGATGGACAGAGTGACATACTCACAAACTGACTCACTTATTGTCTGACTCACTACGTAACTATCCACTTAAGAACTAACATAAATTTAAGTAATTTTAATTTAAAATTTCTAAGACAAATGCGTAGGTGGGTGGAAAATATTAAAATGGATCTTAGAGAGACAGAATGGGATGGATTGTATTGACTTGGCTCAGGATAGGAACCAGTGGAGGGCTCTTGTGAACACAGTAATGAACCTTTGGGTTCCATAAAATGTTGTGAAATTCTTGAGTAGCTGCAGAATCGGCGGCTCCTCAAGAGCAACTCAGCTTCATTAGTAAGTGAGTAACTTAACTCCTTATTGTGTATGATTTGAGGTTTCTATAGCGGTGGTTATGAAGAGTTCTGCATTCTGGAATATAATACAGTGTAGTCAATTTAAAGTCAACAGACGTTTCGGAAGAATATGCCGCCATCTTAAATGTAGAAGAAGCCAAGCAAAATAAAAAAAAAAAACGTGAAACACGTAAGAAACAGAGTTATTCTGTTTACTTCTAATGGACTACACAGCCTTATATTCCAGAAGATATAAATCTCTTTAATATCATATCAAATTTTCCCCCCTGAAATACATATTTATATATTTTTTACAGGTATATGTTAGCATTGGCGTTCATAGGAAAAGCAGCTTCGTTACTGTTTTTCTTCTTGGCTTGGTGGTTCTATATTCCGCCGTCTGGGTTTAAGGAGGCGCTGCAAGCAGCGACACCTACTTCACCTGACTTAACGGACGATGGCGCTAGCAGTATGCCATCCATTCTTATGAATGGACACGCGAATCACGTAACAACAATTTCTGGTGATACTTGAGATAAATACAGCTCGAACAGCTTATCTTAAACTATAAGAATTATATATGTTCCATTCCATTGTACAGACGAAAGGAAGATGCATGGAGCAGACGTTTTTATCAACATAAAGGGATAAATCAGGAAGCTTGGAAAGTTAATGAACCCAATACGCGTGACGCTGTTAATATTTGTACAATGGATGTGTCTGTGTAAGCTACATTTTATGGGCGTCTGGCTGTTTCACTTCTGTAGTTATGAAAATAAAAAGAACAGAACATCAATGGCCGTGCAAAAATGTTATATGTACACGTTAAGACTGGAATATTTGTCACATTGCTTGACTCTGTGTTCAATATAAAAACTGCAGCTCAAAATGAAGGAAAGATACGGTAATATAAGGCACTATTCACATAAACTGATATATATTTAATAGTGGTAGTAATTTATTTGAACTTTAGAAATGACTAATTACGTTTAATGACATTTCGAAGTTCTAAATCAGAATTCAGTCATAAAATTCATCAGATACGTTTTTGATGAAATAGGGGAGTCCCCATAAATTAACCCTTCAAACACTGAATTTATTCTGTTAATATATTTAAATTGAGTTCTTACCTCACAGGAAACACATTATGTCTCCGCTACAAAGCCCAACCGGTTAAAGCTGTTTAGGGAAACAGTCGCTGTTTATTGTGAGAACACAAATACACTCTGTGGGCAGAATAAGAGGTTTTATTATTTCAAAGAAGGTTGTGCATATAGTAACCACTGTGTTAATGACATAAAATGTGAAATTTGAAATCAGTTTTATTACGATTTCGATGTGGTTTGTATGTTCTAATACGGGAAATCAATATGACATTACGTGGTGAACAATACTTTGGTACAAGCTTTCTCTTCATCGGACAAATTCTTACGAAAACTAAGTCAGGAAATATGAGCACAGCCTAAGAAATCTGTGGTATTCACTAAGTATTGAATAATTACCTCAAAGAGAAAAACTTGTTTACATTTATTTTTCTTCACAATCGTCTTTCCCAACATTATTCACCATGATAAATATTTAGCGTGATGTGTGTGAGCTATGCTCAAGATGCAAGCAAAAACTTCTTCAGATCTTCAAGAAAATTGTTCGTTCTTCTTGTACCATTTTATTTAATATTTGAATATGCTGACAAATTCCCGTTTAAACGTTCCAATATCAAATTTCACGAAAATAATTTTAGTGGTTTTTGTGTTGTTCTATGGGTAGAGACTGACGAACGGAGTAATTTTAACGGCGGGTTAATCAGAATGGGAACACACCTGAGAATAAACTTTGATTAAATTAATAAGTTACATTGCAACGTTTTCAACTTTTAACTTATTCAGATGACTGTGGCCACGCCATAGCTCAAGCGGTTAGTCGCTGACTTCCCACCGCGGCGGCCGGGGTTCGATCCCGGGTCTGGTCAAGTGGGATTTGTGGTGGACAAAGTGGCGCTGGGGCAGGTTTTCTCCGAGTACTTCGGTTTCTCCTGCCAATCTTCATTCCACCAATTGCTCCACAATCACCCTCACCTATCATCTGGGGCTGGTACAATAGGCCAGAAGTGGCCGCAGTACAAGGGACTTAGTCCCACCCCACTAGCAATAAAGAAAATATATTCAGATGACCGCACTAGCTAATACCAAATTCACTCCTTGTAACTGGGACTATGGTTTCGAAACAAGTTTGAGACATATAGGCCTATGTTTGCCGGGCTTCTCTGTGTTGAATAATGGTAGCAAGCAAAACTTCAGAATAATGCCATAGTTTCGGCCATTCCGCCATAATATAAACAAACATAATATTAAAATGTGCGTGCAGTTGCTAACAAAATATTGGTTGTGAAATTCGTAAGTTACAGAAAACATTATTATTATTATATGTCCGGCAATAATCAGCCCACTAATTAAAGATTTTTTTTCCCCCTAAAATATAAATGTCTTTATGTTAAATGTTTCAATGAACGAGAAATTAAAAAAAAAAAGAGTGCGTTTCTACTGCTTGTTTCATACAGTGGCTTACGTTTGAAAATTTTTACAGAAAAAAGATATTTTAATGTGCATGCGTGTTTTATGTATGCAAATGTACAATTATTACTTGATGTTTATTTGGCTGTAAGTATGTTTGTGTGATATTTTATAATAAAATTGTACTTTCTTCATTGCAATTGCAGTTTTATTACATTCTGAAATTCAGTTATACGTTTCGATGAGCAAAGAGAAATCATTAGAGAAATACTTCACCAGAAATCAAGACGAATCTCTCTATTGTATCATTCATAACATCAATGAAGAGTGGTAGGTTGAGAGGCTTGGTTGCGTTAAAGGACCCTGTGAAGACCAATAATCTTCAGGTTGTTTCCCTTGTTGCTATTGGTCCTGGTTCTACTTCTACTTATTTCTGCACTCACAGCTTACATTTATACCTTAAAGAAGGAGACAACAAGTCCCTCCGAAGCGTTGCTTCCCAGATTACACTACGTCACTTCCCAGAAGTCAGTAATCATCGTAATCAAAACTATTGTGTACTTTTAGAGTTTAAAGTTACGGACAGGTAGACCAGGGCCATAAAGCTAACCACTCACCTTAATCTCGTGTCAAGGTCAAAAATGTGAAGCTACACCTCCACTCCCTTTTATGTCTACACGGCCGTGTAGGGACAACTTTAGATTTTCCTTCCGTTTTACATGTTGAGCTCAATCCCTTTAATGTTATACATATTAATAATATAAGAATTACTTCAAGGAACATTTACATAAACCTCATTGCGACAAGCACCGCTCTCTTATTACAAACATTCTTGAAACACATACAGCAACGCTGCTTTGACCGCTTTGACTTCGCACTCTCATTTTCAATATATAGCATTGACTCACTCCGTACGTGAGTGAACTCTATACTTAGTTATCTGAACTACATTTACGGTCCGGTCACGGAAATTACTCCGACTAAAGCGACGTCATGGAGAGCTCGTCTAAACTCTTCTGCCATCTATAGGCCATAGTACAAAACGTGAATGAGGCGCGCTATATAGTTGTTGCCCGCGATACGATGACCAACATAAACTTGCATAGTGCGTATACAGTGTTTAAAATTCTATAACTCCCGTAGACATGCGAATATTCTCCAGAGGAACTCTTCTCAACGAATTAGTTTATACATTATATCTCGAGTAAAAAAATATTTCAAAGAAATGTTATAGTTCGTAATCACATATATACTGAAATAATTAATCAATTATTTACATTTTAATATGCCTTTAATCATTCCTGTCGAACTACGGCCAAAATTACTGTAATATGTGAGCTGACCATCTACAAATTGTGGGAGCCTCGACGTCTCACAATCCTATAGGCCTCCACGGCCTGTTAGAGGGATAGCTTTACCTTTTTTATGATTCGAACGTTCCAATTATATTCCACTGATATGGACAGAAGTAAGAATTCCTCTGGAAAATTTGTGCGGACCAATCAACCCAGTCGGTGCAATAGTATATAAGAATAAATATTGCGTTTAATATTTTCACTAACCTCTCGTCATTCAAACACATATAAGTAATATCCTTCCCAAGAGAGAAAATAATTATTAATAATTATTAAATTGCGTAAGCAGATTTCCTGAAGAGAGCAAAATTATATCACCAAAATGCAAAGCTTTTCCAGTCCACTCTCTTGTCACATTTGAAGTTCTATTATGAAAGCAATGTATGTTACTTATTCCATGGTAAAACAAGATACCACCGGTTTAGTTTATCGTCTGGTGAGCTATGGATTATGACATCATGTAGCCTGTCAGTATTCAGCGCCAACTAATTACTGGGAACTGATATCATTGAAAAAATTATGATGTGAAGTCAAATTTCCCGGCCAGAACAGCTGTTCCAGCGAAACCAATGACTGCACTTCTGTCAGAATGCTGCTGCACCTGGGAGGCCATGTTGTTGCTAACTTCGACCGCAGCGCTCCTGCTGGCATTATACGCATGCGCAATGTGACAAACGAAAAACAGCTGTCTTGGTTTTGGTGCTTGGAGGCTAGAGCACCAACACTCGACAAAGAGACTGTTTTGTTGGAACGATTTTTTACCCCATTTTTTTATTTTTAGCTAATTTTAATTGTATTTATATTGGGGATGTTGTGTTTCTAAAGCACAGATGAATGTGTGTGGTATATTTTGAGCTTGATGTGCTGAAATATTGTGATTTAGTGAATGTTTAGAGTCTATACAAAAGAGGTTTTTTAGTGTTGTGGATTTCTTCGTTACTGATACCTCTGCAGCTGGCCAGCGAAGAACACGTCAAGGCATTGACCTCGTAATAAAAGATTCTGTAAGTTCTTTTATCATACACATGTGATGTATTTTACATTGTTCTTGCATGTAACGGTTTCGCCTATGAAAGGATTATTTGGAATGATGAAATGTTAACACAGCATATCCCACACTGGCATTCTATATTTATTTCTCGTGTAATTCTGAGATACAGTTGATTGATAAAAAGAATGTGTGGTTTTACGTAAAATTGAAGTTAAAAACACAGAATAAGCTTTCGAATATTTTAAATATATTCCTGTTTGTTACTAAACTGAATCACTAGATAACTAACTCAAAATATTTGCTTTTATGTGAAAAATTATACACTTATATATTTGACTTATTTAGTAAACATCATGGCCAAACCTTGTATGCTTCAAAATCACAAAAAATATTTTTTTTNTGTGGTTTTACGCAAAATTGAAGTTAAAAACACAGAATAAGCTTTCGAATATTTTAAATATATTCCTGTTTGTTACTAAACTGAATCACTAGATAACTAACTCAAAATATTTGCTTTTATGTGAAAAATTATACATTTATATATTTGGCTTATTTAATAAACATCATGGCCAAACCTTGTATGTTTCAAAATCACAATTTTTTTTTTAATAAGGGTAAATATCAAACTTCGGTATTAATAAAACCAACATTTTTGTACCATTGAGGGCTATCGGAACAGAGTTTTTATGACTTGTTTACGTGTAATTTTCTTACCAATAGGATTCAAGGCAAGAGAAACCTCCAATATGACGTCCCTAGTAAGGGATCAGACCCTTTTGTCATTAAATGCTTTCGAAGACATGGATGAATACTGTTCGTGAATTGACAGTGTTCTTGAATGAATATGAATCTCATCCAGGTCGTTACTGTACATTTAAAATCGGGGTTTTGTTTTTGGTTGCTATAACTTTTATTAGAAAGATCAAATCAGGGAGGATAAGAAGGAACGAAAAGAAATAACACAAATATGGCCAGAAATTCTGAAGGATGGAGGCCACTTAGAAAAAGTAGGCTTGGATAGGAAGATAATATTAAAATGGATGTTCAAGGAAGTAGGGTGTGAGACTGTGTTACTCATCAGGCTCAGTATGGATCAGTTCGAATCCCAGACGAGACACGGACTAACCTGACTAAGGTGTTTCGGGGTTTTTCCAGAGTTTCTCCAGGCAAATGCCAGGAGAGGACTGTAAATTAGATTATGGCTGCCATCTTATATGTTTTTATGAAATTTATGATTCACTAATAATCCCACCATTCGACGGTAAATAGTCTGAGCTATTGGCAGCGTTGTTTAATAAATTGTATAGAAAATTCGTAGGTGGGACGAGTTTTCTGGCTTTTGTAGGCTCAGTAATGAATTCTCCATAGAAGTAAGGGAATGCTTTTATTTTAGACTTGCTGAGTGACAGTTCACTTCCCAGCAAGGACTGTGTTCCGTGAGTTAGTTCAGAAAAACAGTTTAGAGCAGAGATGAACTGTCAGAAGTAAAAACATGCGAAGTATTAATTATCAAGGATCGTTTCAGTCTTGCACAATGAATAAAGTCATTAAACCTGTTCTTTATATCTGTAACTGGACCCCCACATATATTATATTTTAAAAGTAAGTAAAGTTATCCCTATAACAGGCCGTGGAGGCCCATAGGGTTGTGAGACGTCGAGGCTCCCACATTTTCTCTAAACAATCGGCTCAAAGATGGCGGTGAGGTTGTCAGCCTTACGCGCCAGCCGCCTTTTACCCCCAGGAAGATTCCTGGTACTCATTTCTGTTAGAGGCTGAGTCGACGCCAGGGCCATAGCGCGGCTGGAATAGTTAGGTAAACTGAAAATAATCCACCTCATCGGGATTCGATCCCGCGACCTTCCGGCTTGTAGCGTAGTGCCTCAACCAACTACGCTGCCGCGATTACCTATATCAAAGAACTAATCAACTCCACGGAGCTGAGTCCAACTTGAGAAGTCGCCAGTTGCTTGGCGACTCAAGATATTCCTAAAATTTTAATGAACCCGAAGTTTCATTACCGTGTTCACGAGAGCTCTCCATTGGTCCCTATGCTCAGCCAGATCAATCCAGCCCATACCACTCCATCCTATATCTCCAAGATCCATGTTAATATTATCCTCTCACGTCCAGGTCTTCCTAGTGGTCTCTTTCCTTCTGGAATTCCCACCAAAACCCTATATGCATTCATCTTATCCCTATGCGTGTTCCATGCCCTGCCAATCTCATCCTCCTTGACTTGATCATTCTAATTATACTTGGAGAAGAGTACAAGTTATGAAACTCTTCATTATGTAGTTTTCTCCAACCTCGGCGCTGGATGGACATGAGTGATCAGCTTCACGCCCTGGCCGCTTTGCCCTGGGCTAAGAGCTGCTCTGGACACTTCGGAGTATAGAAAGATCTTTTGACCCTTTCCTGGAATCGAACTCCCGCCTCCAGCCCGTATACTGTCGTGATACCGACTGAGCTGTTCCGCTAAAAGAATGAATTCTTGATCTCAACAAGCCTTGATACCAGTGTTACATACTATGAATATATATTTTTATATTTTAATTGATTGGTATATATGTGGTTTGCGCATGTGTTATGGCCTTGTTCATCCATGGTACCATGACCTTCTGAACCCACTGCGTCTCCATTACATAAAGCAATCGGTTAATTCTGCGTAGAGCGATGATAGCTACTTAGTTAGATAATCATACGAAATCCATTAATAGAACTAGTTAACTCAGCGGTCCCGCTTCAGGCTTTTATTCGAGATATGACGGCCGGAACACAGGCTATCCAAACTGAGATTCCTCCAGGTAATAACATAGGCCACGACCACTTCGTTCCACATTGAAGAATAAGACGGAAAGATTATCTTGAATGTGGTAAATAAGGATTTGAAAGGAACTGGTGTTTTTTTTTTACTTGTATTATTCATCCATTCATCTTGAGTGATTCGTAGGTCATTTAATAGTTCTGTTTCACCTGAAAGGAATGTCTAGTATTGAATGATATAGAAAAAAAACCTCCGTGGTTTTAGTCCGCAACTGAAATATACAGACTGAGCAACCGCCGCTTGTCGGCGAAGTTAGTACCAACTTTAGTGGGTAGAGGGTGTCGCGTGGTCAGCGCAACGAATCCCCACGGCCGTTAATATCGGGTTTCTAGATCGGGAATGCTATAGAAACGTGTTGATAAATGGTGAATAAATAAGAATTTGGAAGTAGAGGGCTGATTGGTTTAGACATCTTCCCTGGGAAGATCTGGGCAATAAGCTATTATTTTGCGGGTTGGGGATTAGTTTTTATGACGTTACTTTTAACTGCGCAGTAAAGAGAAACATTTTCACGTGAATCATGCGTTAGAAGTTTTAGAGAAGTTGTAACAACTTGGTGTTTTGTTCATAGATAAAAGTTAATTAATTTAGCAGACGTTCCTCTAATTTTCTTTTAAGGTTTAAAGACAAAGATCTTTGTTTTCTACGTTTTACTCAATACGTAAGCTAGGAGGACTATGGAGACATCTGTTGGTAGAACTGTGAAGGACAAACCTTCGGTTTCTCAAGGCAAATGCTGGAATAGCCCTTAAATAGTCTATGCTCGGATTATTTTACAATCATTTACAATAGGAGCCAGGATTCCTCAGTCGGTGTAGTGACGGGCTACAGCCCGGATGGCTGGGGTTCGATTCACGGCAACGGCAAAAGATTTGTCTCTTCTCCACAGCGTCCAAACCGGATCTGGGACCCACCCAGTCTCATATTTAATCGGTACCGGGGTTTTCTCTGCAGGGGAAAATCGACCAGGGCGTGAAACTGACCACTCACCTCCATCTAGTGCCGAGGAAAATAATAGTGGAGCTATACCTCCATTGACATACCTGTTCGTGGCATAGTACTTAACTATTTAAGCACAGGAATATATCTACCTTTTTAGTTTTATAATTTGAAATAATCCTTTCCAGCTGAAAAATCGTCGTTATAAGGACAATTAATATGTCTTTGATACACGTACGTGTCCTGCTCATATCACTCTCGTGTTCAGACCACCCTAACAACAGGCCTCTTAGAGGAAAAGTGCAAATTATGAAGGACCGCAGTAAGCAATTCTTTGCATCTTATTGTTACTTCCTCATTTTGGCACGTTCTCAGCGCAAAATTGCAACTTAGAAAATTCGCAGTGGATTAGGTCGAGTCCATTAACTGAGGTAAGTGTTGCGGGTTGTATATGAATTATACCAAATGCTTAGATACAGCGCATCACCCCTCCTCCCACAATGTAACCGGAATCACTGCCTCCCCTACTTCTTGCCACATTTCACTTCATACTTAAAAGCCAGAGGATAGGTCTAGAAACTCTGTGAATATGCAGTGTGGAGTTTTTTTTTTCAATGGCTCTTCCAGCCCATTCAGGGTCCTGATCTCTTAACCGCCGTGGAGATTCGTTGCTCTGACTAGACGACACTCTCTATCCGCTACATTTGGCACTAACATCGCCGACAAGCGGCGGTCGCTCGGTTGGTATAGTTCGCATGCGGACTAAAGCCACGGAGTGTATAAATCATTCTACAGACGATATGACTCCTTACACTAGTGAACAGCTCGTCGCAAGACCTCTACCTAAACGCAGGACAACACAAACACAGAATAAACGCAAACACACCAAACATCATGCCTTTAATGGGATTCGAACCCGTGATCCCGGCTTCCGAGCGAAGGAAGACAGTTCATGCCTTAGACCGCGCGGCTACTGTGACCGGCAGTGTATAAGAATAATATATAAGAATTCAGTCCGTACCTCACAGGATACAGATCCGAACCCAAGGTCCCGGCTTCCGAGCGAGCGAAGACAGTTCATGCCTTAGACCGCACGGCTACCGTGACCGGCAATGCATAAGAATAATATATAAGAATTCAGTCCGTACCTCACAGGATACAGATCCGAACCCAAGGTCCCGGCTTCCGAGCGAGCGAAGACAGTTCATGCCTTAGACCGCACGGCTACCGTGACCGGCAATGCATAA